TCCACCCCAACAATTTATTTTCTATTTTTTAACCCCTATATTTCATTTGTTACTTAAAAACATATGACTTGAACTCTGAGGTTTATATAGAGAAATATTCACAGAAAAACCGAACAGTCTCTGTGGTAGCATAGCAAAATGTTCCATGTTGGTATGTACTAAAAAGGTAGGCTAAGTAAAATCCCATCAAGGAGAAACAAAGTTCGCGGGGTCAGCTAGTATAATATAAAGTAATAAACATATAAATGACCGTTTTATGCATTTAAAAGCAACAACCATACACGAGGTAACTTGCTTAAATCTCATTCCCAATATTCAGTCAACATGTAATTACTTAATATAAATAACGCGAAGTATCGGACATATTTGAAATGATATTCATTTATTGAGAAAGGCTGATCTTACTCCGTCTTAAAGGGAGGATGCTCGGATAGTCGACTGACTTGTCGACCCAGAAACCACGCTAAAACCCCAATCCCATACTTCGTTAGCGCGATTCAAGGTATGACGTCAGCGCAGTGTTTGATTAAACAAAAGACCGATTTATCACAACAAATTTGATTAATATACCTGATAATAAATTCCATAGCTGCGAGGATCAAACCGTAGAGCATCAGTTCTACTCCGAACACCTTCGCTAAAACTTTTAAAAGACTTGGTTTTTTGTCATCTTCAGACTGTCTTTTGACTTCTAGATCCCAGGCTTTTTGGATGGAGTCACCTGATAAAAATATGGTGAATTAACGTCAAATAACTGTGCGAAAAAGAATCCAGAACTGAGAAATACCACTGAACCGATTTGGAAAAGAGTTGGAGAAATTTGTTATTACGAAATGTTACACGCGCTTGGCAGCCTGAACAAAAAATACATTCATATATACATACATGCTATTCATAATCTTTCTTAAGTTAGTTAAAAATAGTTTGTTATGATATCAATTTATGTTTCAGTGGCGCCAAAGCCCTCTTTTTAATTCAGTTTTAATCAGTTTCCTAATAGGTATATATATTCCTATTCCTATATAATAATAGGAATAGGCGTCTTGCGAGTCCGGCTTTTTCTACTTAATTATGATTTATTTTTAACAGTATTCAATTGATTATTGTGTCTTTCAAACATTTATAATTGTATCGAAATCGAATTCAGGCTTACTGATGATCTTTTAGAATGTATTCAATAAATCTTGAATCAAATTTATCTGAATACATTTTAATATTTTGATTGGTTTTTTATTGTACAGTAGAACCTCGTTAAGTCGAACCTCTATAAGTCGAACATCAAGGGTGTGTGTATAAGAGAGCGAATTTTATTTGAATTACCCAAAACGTCAGATCTATGTTCAGGTAAAGGTGCATACAAATCGTCTTCTCTGATATCTCGCCTGTATCCAAGCATAAATGTCTCCAAAGTCCATCTTAAAACAATATTTTAATTATTTCGAATTAAATATTAACAGTGATACTTCGAAACCATAAGAAGTATTGGCCTAGTTGCTTCAGCGTGCGACTCTCATTCGTGAGGTCGTAGGTTCGATCCCCGGCTGTGCACCAATGGACTTTCTGTCTATGTGCGCATTTATCATTCGCTGCTACAGTGAAGTACATGGTGAGGAAACCAATAAATTCGACGGCGTGCGTTAGGCACAGGAGGATGATTACCTACTTGCTTAGATTGACAAATGATCATGAAACAGATACAGAAAACTGAAGCCCAGGCCTAAAATTTTGTTGTGCCACTGGTTTATTTTGTTACTTCGAAACCATATTTCGTCTTGCCTGCACTTCATCATCACCTACTTCTGCCACTATTGAGTGTGTGAGGGATTAAAATTATTTGGTAACCGTCTATAATTATATTATATATATGTGTATATATATATATATATATATATATATTACTTAGTTTAGTGGTTAGTTACTTCAATAAACATTCATAAGTATTTATACACATGTTGGGATTTGGGGTCGCTCCATCATCTACCCGCATTTACCATGGAGAATGTTCGGATAATACCTGCAGCTGAGTTACATCATCGGTCGTCGAGGCAGAATACGAAATTTCACCCGTATTACCTATCCCTCGTTCAACAACGGAGCAATTTCTAATCACTTTGTAGATCCAGCTGCCCACTGAGGTATTTCCAACGTCCTTCAAAATAAGAGAGTACCAATTCCTTACAGGCCTGCAACGCCTTCGAACATTCGAGCCTTCTGGCAGTGTGTGTCCATGGGCGCCGGTATCACTAGCCAGTTTGCCCCCTTTATCTATAAAAAATAGCTACCATGGGTCCCCATTTAAAACATGTACACATTCTCACCCAAAGGTCAAAGCGGAGAAAAGATTTGCTTTATATCTTGGATTTAATTGTCGTCTTTGTTTTGGCCCGGTATCCATTTTAATTATTTTCCGATTATTACAATTACATTCACAATTATAATCTAGTAGGCTACGTTAGTACTGTTTTATTAGGCATAGACAAGAATTATTTTTTCTACATTAAACATGCAAATTTGTGTAATTTCTAAGTATGTATTGTATGCAGATATATAAAGATTATTTAATGTAAATATACACCTTTTAGTTTTAACATATATTTTAAAACGAATCATAGCAATACAATACAACAAGCGATCTTTTAAAACTATATTATATATTTATTAAAGAAAACTCGTCCATCTTAATGCCAAGATACAGGTGTTAATTGCTTTTATAGTTTTATTATGTACGAGTATTTATCGAAATCTTAATTATGTTAATGTTAATTGTTAAGTGTAGATTGACTGAATGAATCATGAAATAATCAAAGGAATAAATGTATTTTGTCCCAGTGATTGAGTTTAAAAAAATGTTCAGGCTACAACTGAACTTTAATTAGCAATTAGGATTCACAAAATATCAATAATGAGTATTTTGATTAATTAGTTGCTTACGTCATTGTTACTATCAGAAAAACTCAAAAGGCTTTCACTATTTTAAGTTGTGCTTGCAAGCTTCGTTACATAATCTAGGAGATTTTAGTATCACCAAGCCTAAGGAAAATGTAAACAGAATTAAATTGACCACTTTCAAAATTATTCGTCGTCATAATAGTTCCGTTCCAGCGTTTTACTTTTCATTAAAGAAAAAGTAATTCTTAAAACCATGTTTTTTCGCTATGGTATGATGATTTGGGTATAGTACCCAAACAAATTTAAAATTTTAGTAATTTTTGGTACAATACGTACGGCAATAGATTATTGGATTCATCTAATTTTTGATAGAACTAATAGGAACAAAAATAATTTCGAAATACTACTAAAGTTCTATGATTGCACATACTAGGTACTTATGCACGTACCTAGTGTCTAGGATGTAGAAATACATTATTTCTATGTACATATTTCATAAACCTTTAATATAAAAGGAATTTGTCTAGTTTTGTAATACAATTATAAGAAAATGATTCGTCTATTGTTCCTCGTTGTTTTCGCCATTTTCTGTGACGTAAGTATATTTCAAATACTATTAAAACCAAGATGACTAATATAACAAAAATTTTAACCTCATTCCTTCTATTCTGTTTATATCGCGTTATGTATTATTGTAATTGGCTCTAAGTTGCCTTCTAAACACACACAACATTTTATTTAATGTCTAACAAACCGGTGCATATTCTGACGTTGACAAAATCACGTTTCCCGCCAAAAATAATTGTGTGCCGTTTATAGGCGTAGATAGCTAAAGGACTGGCATATAAAGGAAATTTTATAAAACAGAGACAAAATGTATTCGGTAGACTTTTTTATAAATTTAATCTTATTTAGAGCTGTGCATAAATGCTTTATTAAATAATTAAAAAACATCGCATTACTGTCACATCTCAGCTATATGCTACGACTCGGATACGTTTATTAAACTCTGAATTAGTAAAATTATAAATGCAATTTAAAAAACGAAATAGTATAGACACATACTGCTGTGGTCTCAGGCAGAATGAGCAGCGCTGTGGAACATTCTGCTCCTCAGCATAATACTGAGCCAGGGCCAATTACAGCCACAGCACACACGCATTACACACTTGAAACGAACCGAATGGGAAAAGGGATTTTTTTTTCTTTTTATATATCTCTCATTATATTTTTTATTTAATTTTTTTCTATGATTATTGTTATTTAATGTGTGTGTTTTTGTTTGTAATAAATGATATGTTTTTGGAAAATGTCTATGTCTAAAGAAAAAACTTTTTAACCGGATTAAAGTTATGTATTATTATAAATTTACAATTATTTAGCATAATTTTAAATTTATCCGACGTTTCGCGTGCTTTACAGCGTGCGAGGTCACGGTGACTGAAGACAAAAGGTGTTGGATGTCAAAAAAGTATCACAGCTGTAGAGAAAGTTGCATTATCTGTATTTATTTCCCCGGAGTTGGTATCGACTAAAAGATGGAGGGTTTTGGCAAAAATGGCTCACGGTGTCCTCTGTTTTCGCGAATTGTTTTTCTTTTTGAGATTTTAATTTGGATATTATTGGATCCCAGGTGTTTGACAATTTGGACTTTTGTCTTCAGTCACCGTCACCACGCACGCAGTAAAGCACGCGAAACGTCGGATAAATTTAAAATTATGCTAAATAATTGTAAATTTATAATAATACATAACTTTAATCCGGTTAAAAAGTTTTTTATTTAAATGTGTAAAGGTTATGTTAATCAAAGACAATACTATGTCTATGTCTACATACAACCACTAAACAATAATAATTTGTAAAAATTATTTACGCTTATTATTCATGTTTACATTTATGTTATTAATATAAAAGAAAATAATATTTTACCAGTCTGATAAGTTAACGATTTGTGTTAGCAAACATTGGAATGTAACGCTGGAACTTCGGGTTTCCAACGATATCTTTCCTGCTTCCTATGATTAAGTTATCTAAATATTTCTAATAGTCTAAGAACAAGTACGGCACAATTTTATTTAAGATGTATGTATAGCACGGTTTTTTTATTACAGATGTGCCTTACACAAAGGTTATGTGGATTACCTCGGCCTATACAACCGCCACCATCTATAAAATACTCCATTCCTGCGAAACCTGTCGTTACCGTAGGAAGACCCATCGTTGACAATTATGATACAATACAAATGACCAGAGTTCTGAATCAACTCCAAGATAATCCTGTTAAGGATGACTGTGGATGTTTTTCTTCAGAAATTATAAGTAAATTGATAGATGCGCTAGTCGTGTCTACAACAATGCGAAACAATGGGCGAAATGAGGGCAATTTGCTGAATGTCGCTCTTGGTGACACGGATTTATTGGGTGTATCTATTTAAATGCACTATACGTACAATAATATGAACAATTTATATGTATGTTAAAGGATTTTCTCATAAATATTATGTTATAAATAATATTAAATGTAAAAATTGTTGTTATGTATTTATTTAAGTAGCCTGTTCCTATTTTTTATGTCGATTCAGTGGCGTAACAATAGGTTGGCAGGGCTGGCAAAATGCCACAGGCCCCCGACCCAAGAGGGATAATGAGATATTATGTTCTATGGATGAATGTGGAGTCTCCAATACGCAGGGCTAGCGTGGGGACTATAGACCAGTCCTTCTCGCCTAAGAAAGGAAGCCTATTACCATTAGTAGGACATAAACAACGTGTAATTGAGTACGCTGAAAATCTCAAAGTTTATTAAAATTAATCTGAGTACAACGTGACGATTTTTACTGATAGGGAATTTGCCACGGGCCCCAGATGGAATAGTTACACCACTGTGTCGGTTGTACACAACGTAGGTATTACTGTATAAATGATTATAATATTTATAGTGGAGTGTGATTCCTTAGGAAGGTTTAAGTTTACAATTCCTTACGATTTATTTTAAATTGACCGAGATGTAAACAAATTGTTTGCAAAAATCTTGTCAACATGCACAAAATCCACACGGGCGACTACGGCAAGCAAATAAATAAAGTTTGGAAAATCCAAAAGTGCACGCCTCATAGCGGTCATTCACATTTAAAAAAAATTCTAACACAAAAACTCAAGTTTTTTAAAACAAAATAACAAAAAAAATAAAAATAAAAAATAAATGAGAATGAATGATTTAAAAAAAACAATCATATAATAAAAAAATATATAGTGACGCCATAACTCTAAGGTGAGGAAAAAAAAATATACTAAAATAAATGTATATGATATATGTATAGATATACAAATACACAGTCGTATTTTAGTTTTTTACAAATTATAATTAAAAGACAGTACTTAGAACGCTAATATCAACTAGGAATCAGCCCAGGGTATAACTTTATATAATAAGAAAAAAAGTATTACGTACGATAAATTTTTCGACCAATTTCTCTGCCACATACATGGATCCATAAACACAGGCTGACGGACGTCCAAGAATGATTGATTTTAATGTTATTATTTACTATGTTAAACAAAATAATTGTTCATAAAAAATACCATATGTGCTTGATAGATTATTTAACTCGATTTTAGTGCACTCATATTATCCTGTAAGTATTATAGTAGTGAGAAAAAAGTCATTCAAGTTTCGAAAGACTGGGTTTTTTTTGACATGTCGAGAGTAGAGCACTGCGAGGCGTGCAATATAGAGTAAACAAATAAAATTTAATAATAAATAACATGCTGTTTCTATTTAAAGAGTGACTTTCAGAACAAATGTTTTACGTTCTGCGTTCTTTAAAGATTCAAACTATTTTTAACAACTTTTGTATGGAATATAAAAATTATGTACTTAGTAATATTAAGCAATAAAAACGCACTTTTTCACTACCATTATAGCTTTTTCATAACTACTTTTACTAGTTGGTAATAGTAGTTTTTCATTACTATTAATATCTAATGGAACCGATAGTGCGATGTTAGTTTGAAGTAGTACTAAACAATCTCTTAATATGAGTAGTAGACGAGGTTCCGGAATTCGAATCCAAAAGCAATTTTTCTGTTTATCTTGCAATTGTGACACTTGTTTTCTATAAACATTCTCTTTGCAGTCTATGTTTGCTCTCAGCTTGTATGATTTTATGGAGTCTCTTCCTTCTTTTTATTTGTAGGTTGTAGTGTTTGGTAATTAATCTCCAAGAAAATATATATTTTTAGAATAAGGCCGATTCTCACGCCCTACATAAATGTTTCGTAATACAAATTACGCCTATGATAGCAAAACTACGTGACGTTAAAAATAAAACATTATTGTTGGGTAATTGAATTCCGTGAAATATATGTATATTGCATGTCATAATAAAACTATTAACCTATATAAGAGATAGTTTTAATTGTTGAGTTATGTTCAGTTGAAAAATGGGTTCATCACTACATCTCGCAACTCTCTTCGTGGCATTTTTTGTTGGCGTAAGTAATCTTTTTTACGTCAAACTTGAATCTCATTAACTATTTAGTTTAACGATAAACATATAATATATTTCCAACACACAGATATACAGTATGTATTTACACTGTTTTTAACCTACATAGAAATAATAATATCAATTAAAAATTGATTAAAAGTTTGGTCCCTGTGCCAGTGTACCTTTAATGCTGGCATTTTGTTTATTGCGATACTTATTCGTTGAGCAAGGAATGCACCAGCTCTGGCGTCACCAGGCGCTAACATAAATCTTTAATTAGCGCCTGTATACGTAAACCCCACGGCCCATGGATTCAAAACTTCAGTGGTCCCCTCATATTAACGGATTGGCGAAGAGACTTAGTTCTGCAGCCTACGCGGTTAAAAAAATTCGCTCACTAACTGATGTCGATACAGCTAGACTTGTTTATTTTAGTTACTTTCATAGCTTAATGACTTATGGCTTATTATTATGGGGTCATGCTGCTGATGTCGAAACTATTTTCATCCTGCAGAAGAGGGCTATTCGTGCAATCTATAATTTAAAATGTAGGGAATCTCTTAGAGATAAATTCAAGGAAATTAATATACTTACCTTTCCCTCGCAATATATTTATGAAAATATTATGTATGTATACAAAAATAGTGATAAGTTTACTAGAATAGAACATACGCACAATGTTAATACACGGAACAAACGCAGGCTGCAATTTCCCCGTACTAGACTATCTAAAGTTAGTAATTCTTTTTTGGGGAAAGGGATACTCTTCTTTAATAAAATCCCAGAGGCTCTTTTATCACTGCCTTTCAATAAATTTAAGAAATGTATTAAAGAAAAGCTGTGTAAAAAGGCTTACTATAAAGTCAACGATTATCTAGTTGATAAAAGGGCCTGGGACTAGTGCTAGACAGGCTACTTCTAATCAATTTGCGATATTTGTTTTAAATAAGTGTTGTTTGATGATTTGCTGTTTTAAAAGAGTACCGAGAGTTTTTTACGCCGGCTTTTTCTCTCGGCCTACACCCTCTGTCTTCTTTGCCGATGAGTAGGGATGCCTTCAAATTTAATGACGTGGAATAAGTGATACATGTATCTTATGTTCCATAATAAACATATTTTATTTTATTTTTATTTTTTTATTTTTTCAAGAGTCTCTACTCCAAAGGGCTCAAAATCAAAGTTGGAGGAAAGACTCCTGTATTTAAGCCCAGTGCCGGATTAGCCACATAGCAAGAGTAGCAAATGCTACGGGCCCCGCGAACTTAGGGGCCCCGCGCTCCAACGCCTGTCTGACCGTAATAAAAAAAGTATTAATTTAGATAGTAGCGTAAAATATCTTGCATACCTTTAACGCGAAGCGCTTAGTCTATGCTTCACTTCCACATAAAAATAAACTCGACTTCGTCAAGTATAATCGTTAAAATAACTACGTATTTATCTTTTTAACGTTAATTTTCAAATTTTAATTATAATCGATATACATATTTAGACTAGCATGTTATTTGTACCCTTCAGATTTTTATTTTTATATAGGTATACATTTATTTTGCTAGTTTACGTAGCCGAGATTGTACTTTTCTAATCGATTTTAATATAATATCGATTATAAGTATTTCGAGGACATAGGCGAACTATTTAAATCCGAAAGCCTAACCAAGGGCCCCTAGGCAGAATTTGCTACAGGCCCCGCGCTGGCTTTATCCGGCACTGTTAAGCCGTTTATTATTTTATTTAGTTTAACAAATATAGTGACCTTAGCCATCCGGAATGTTCACGCCCTTTTCACATATGTTTTTTTTTAAATATGTATATGTTTTAAATATAACTTACACATATCACATTATTTTCAATAGCAGCAGTCATGACTGAGTAATGTCAAAAAATCGTGTTTATTTCCAATAAAATGTATTTATATCATAATACCATTTGAGCCATTTAAGAAACATTGATAAATTTTGAAATCATTGTTAGAATTAGAAGAATATTATTTAAATTACGTTGATTGACTAGGTCATAAAAACATTGTTTTTTATCAAAATACAACAAAAGGACTATAATATTATATGCTTACATTGTTGGATGGCAGTTTTATAAGCTTGTGACTATCATTACGATAACGTAGTCGTAAAGCATGCATTTCTCCTCATTTTTTCATGAGATCACCCGTTTGAATTCCTACCGAGTACGAAATTTATTCATACGGTGAAGAAAGATATGATCACACTCTTAGACTTTTAAATGGGCCTGTCTGGCATAAAAGCTTTATAAAAGTAATTATAACATAAGAAAGAATCATTTAAAAGGTCGACAACCCATCTGTAATTGGCATGGTATAATAGGATGTCTTCACTTAACATCCATCCCATTTATTTGTAAAATTATATTTCACTTAGAAAAAATATGATGTGTATTTTATATATTTCAGTAAATAGATCAGTATATAAGAAGGAATAATCTTTTCGCTTTTGAATCCGTTTCAGAAATTTTGATTCCTCACATAAACAAAAGACAATAATATTCAAATGAATTTAACTTTAGAAAAACTTGTTAATTGGTTGTAAATTTGTAATCCCTCAGGTGCAGTGCTTCGGCTTGCACAGGCCGATGCCACACACTTACCAACCAGAGCCGTGCTCTTCATCATGTGAAGAGATAAAGACTCTGCTTAATCTTGCCCGTATTCTGGACGAAGAAGAGAAACCGAAAACTAAATCATTCAACCCGGAGGAATTGATTATGAAATTGGTCAATGCTCTCGTTGTAACTTCGACGGCACAAACTAAATGCAACTGCGATTATGGTTATAATGGTCGATCAGAATACTCCGGAGGGCGGGGAACAGCATCGAGAGGACACAGAGATGGCTTAGTCAACCTGGACCTATTGAACCCAAACAATCCTAACAATGTCGCTCAATTGGATCTTGGGAAGCAAACCATTGCTGGAGTAGGTCTTGGAGACACCACTAATGGAGTTATTGGTGGAGCGCTCAAAGATCTTCTGTAGTATTTTTTAGTTATTCTTAATAATATTGTTTATCCTTTATCAATAAATATATCACAAAACTAATGCTTGTATTATTGTTGTAATAAGAATAATATACTTATTGTTTAATGTAAAGAAGGTGGAGTTAGCGCTCAGTGTTAGTGTTCTTTCTAAATCTTACCCTAAAATTTATCATACTAACGGGACAACCCATGGTAGGTACATATGGTAAAATTCATTTTATCATCAGGATGTAAAATATTACATAAATTTCAAAACTACACCTTATTAATTGATTAATTTACGTTAAACGTAAATTAACGTATATTAATCAATAAAGTTTTTTTATAAATTTGACGAATACTTAAATCCTATCCTATTCCTTGGGATTGATTTGCTCCAGTTCAAACAATTTGTATGACAATACTTGGCGATTAAAAAGAGTGGCGGAAAGTTTCTTGCCAGTTCTTCTTACCCGCTCTACGCCCTTGACTTGCGAACTGGTAGTAAATGTAAATTTACAATTAATTTTACTTCTTTTTGACGTTCATAAGTGTAGATACTTGTTTACCTATATGAATAAATATAATTTGAGTTTGAGTTTATTTTCTTATTAAACTACTTAAATTTAGTTTCTTCCTATACGCTTTACACTTCCAGGAATAATTTGTTCTGCTTTAAAAAATTGCCAAATGTTCTTACACTGCCGACAAAGGCGCAAATAACGTGTTCCTTGACCTGTCTGAGATAATAACGAACAATCCGTATCCAATTTGTCAAATTCATCTTGTGAACCAACAGATACATTTGATCCCACAGGGAGATTCAGGCCATCATGGCCATCATCCCCCGACCTATACAGGGGGCTCGTTCATACAATATTTACAGAAATTACAAAAACTTACCGACTACACGATGACACGTCACAAATATGATATAAAGATTACATATAATACAAAAATTTTAACTACCAGCTTATTCTCTGCGTTTTAATTGGGTAGTAAAATTTAATTTTATTTTCACCACCGTGAAAAATGCGTCTACCATGAACGAAGTTTCCCGCGCTTTTTTTCTTTATGTAGATTGTAGTTTACTTAATTTTTTTTCTCTTTATGGCTCTGGCACGGTTTGAGCATTAGCCAGCGTCAAGTATAAATTCACTTAATTTAAATATAACTTAGTTATTTGTTGTCTAGGCATAGCATTGCATCTGCAGGTTTTGACAATGACGGAAAATCAATATTCAAGGATTGACATTGACGTTAAACTATCTTAAAAATCGTTGAATTTTGAAAAAGCTTGTTTCAACTATAATTTAAAGCTATGTTTGTTAAATGTTTTTATGAGTGCGGGTTATTTAATTATGACATACTAATTATTGAAGTAAAATTTTCATGATGAATTAAATAACTTTAGTGAAAAAGACACGACGTGACGTTAAAATGACTTCTGAGAGTGATGTTCTAAAAACAAATGAATTTCTTCGTCGTCGAAAATTGAGACTTCAACAGGTTTGATAAATTATTTAATATTGATCTTTACAAGAGTTTGTGTTTTTATTGTTTTTATTCTGCTATTAGGTTAGAGAACAATCAAAAGATATTGCAAAGAAAATACGACAACGTGCTAAAGTTGAACAGTTACGGCAGACGATAAATCTTGATGCCAAGAAAGAAAAAGAATATTTTGACTTACAAGAAAAATTTGTGGGAAGATTAGAACAGTTGTATTCACGGAGTGTAGAAAATGTTGGATCTAGTCATAGGAATGCTGCTGAAGCTTTAGAGCAAGGTAAACATTCACCCTTAAATCTTCATTCTATCGGTAATATTGTGTTTATTTAAGTTATTATTCTTAAACTTGTAGAAAAACAAACTAATCAAGATATTTCAAAACTACGTGGGAAAGAGGCAGTTACAGAGCTTCGTAAAAGAAAGCAAGATAAGCTAGATGAACAGAAGAAAATTCTTGATAGGAAGTTGCAGGCTAGGTAAGTAATTTTATTTTTTAACTATGATACTTTCCCATCATAAAATTATGTATTATGTTATTGCAGGGAAACAGCAAATGAACTTTTTAGAGACAAACATGCAACTGTTGCAAAGATACTAAAATCCAAATCAGGTGACAATATACAGAAACAATTAGAGGAACCTATTGTTAATGAAATAAATAACAATCCAGTGGAAAAGGACAAAGCAGAGAGGGATATATCTAAAAATGATATGGCTACACAATGGGAGACTGATGAGTTACTTAATGAATGGGGCTCCAGTGTTCCAACGCTGTCTTTTCCAAAAGATGACAGAGACAGTAGAAAACATTTAGAAAATGAAAAATCTGAGCATAAAAGATTGAATTTATTTGCATTAAGTGATGAAATGCCATCTTGTCTCCGCGGTGGTAATAGCAATATGTCAAATAAAGCATGCCAACAACAATCTTCGGTTAATATTGTCTCTGAATATTTACAAACCAGAAACTTACGTTTGAGAGAAGAAAAACCTGTCAGTACCAAGAAATCTGATGATTTGCAGAGTATCAAACAAACAATACTAAGGAGTCGAGCCTCTAAAATTGATGGTAATTTTTCAAATGTATGCCATGTTCTTGACAATCAGCTAATACCTGTCCCATCTTGGACAGCAGAAGTTGATTCTTGTCTTTGTCATCATTGCCATAACAGGAAACCAATACAACCTGTTACTAATGTATTAATTAACAAAACAAATTCTTTTCAAAGATCAGCTAGTCCTTTCTCCTCATCGGCCTTCAAAAATGATCAAAGAAAACATAATAAATATATGAATAAAAAATCAGGTGAAATTGTCTGATCACAATTACTGTATACTTTAATAGTTTCACTATATATTACATGGTAGAGTAAATATTCATATAAGAAGTATATAGATAACTACTAAATTTTAGTGTATTTAATATAAAATCATGTATTTTCATATGAACTGGTACTATTTGCGATCCACTCTCAACTAAAGCTCCTGTTTAGCAGTTAGTAAAATGCATTTTCAATTTAAGTGTGCCCAGATCACTTGAAATAGATTTGTAGCTCAACAGTACATTATTATTTATCTTTTGTAATAATATGTTAAATATAATAACTAAAAGTTTTAACTTATTAATTTTACTGTAAATGAAAACTTAATTTTTTTTTATTGATGATTGATATTGCATATTTGCCTAATTTATTTTTAATTTCCAGCCAATTTTGTCCCTTCTTAGTGTAGCTTTATATATCAAAATGAGCACCATTGGTATTAACTTATTACTGTTACCAATTAAAAGACAATATTTTAGTTTCAGGCAGGAATACAAATACCTCAAAAACCAATTCGGCATTAAATAAAAAGCCATCAGTGACAATGTACAATCACAGCACAAGAGACACAAGAGAATCATATAATAATGAAGCAACCATTGTCCGAGAGCAAAACACGAGTGACGATGCATATTTAAATGCTCTAAAGGAAACATCTATTTTAAATGAAGTTAAAACCCAAGATCTTGAAAAGAAGAGAGAGATTCTAAGAAATAAAGTGGCTGCGACAAGGGAAAATGTGGATAAAGAATACAAAGATACGCTGTCATTTTTAAATTCGTTATCAAAGGAAAAACCCTGTAGGACAAATGTAAGTTTTATGTATACCTAAAAATATACTGAACATACTACACATATACATTACTATTATATATTTCAAAAATGTAACATTGATGTTTAGCAGGGTTAAATTTTAACATTATTTCAAGCACTATTTACACAGTGTGGGGCTCTTGTATATTGCAGACAGAATATTTGACTCGACTAACAAAAATTTATGAATAGTTGATTAGATGGTTAATTTTCATTTAGACAAACTTTGGGTTTTCAAACATAGGTTGTCTCAAAGAAATTATAACAGATTTATACCCATTTAGTACAGTTTTGTCTAGAAAGCTGAAGCTTTTAAGTAATTTGTAATCAATTATATTGTTTAGTCAGTAAATGCCTAAAATATAATATAAATCAATAAAGCAGGAGTTAGACTCTCAGTTGTATAATAAATAAATTAAATTAATTTCAGAATCTCTCTCACATGGGTTATGACAGACTTCAAATACAAAAGGACAAACGGCAGAAGGAAATGCAAGATGAATTTAGAAAGATTGAAAAGGATTGCACCAAGAAGACATGTAAGGTAGGTAATTGTTAGGCTACTTTTAGGTCTTTTATTCGGGGATTCGTACTTCGAAAGATTTTTGATTTGCTCCAGTTCAAACAATTTGTATGACACTGGCGATTAAAAAGAGTGGCGGAAAGTTTCTTGCCAGTTCTTCTTACCCGCTCTACGCCCTTGACTTGCGAACTGGTAGTAAATGTAAATTTACAATTAATGTAACTTGACAATTCAAAAGTGTACTTGTTTACCTACATGAATAAAGATATTTTGAGTTTGAAAGAAAGAAAAGAAACAACAATAAATAAAAATTATGTTAGATACATGAATTGTAAAAACAAAAAATACATTTTTGTATCTTTGTAACAAACATAAAAATTACTTGAAGTGGCTTTAAAAAAATCAACACAATAGTACATGATTTTAAATAACTATATGTTATTCAGGGATTATACCTCCCATTATTTCACCACTTTTTTTTGTTTTGTTTAATTGTGCTAAGGATTATAGATGTGGACGCTAAAATGTAAGCTTTACTGGACACTAATTTATGATTTCACGTCTCCCTCCGCCCGCTTTAGTGACAAAACCACCAAATAGTACTAACTCGAGAGCAATTTGATGTATCAGTATATGCAATGCAATTAGATTAAATATTAATATGTGGTATACTTAACGCGTGCCAGATTCACTATGTTATTATGAAGGCACCTGATTTGTATCTAAGTAACTTTTACCGCAGCATATGTTATCCTTTAGTGAAGAGCGTGTTAGCCTAGTTGCTTCACAGCGTACGAGTCTCAAACCTGTGGTATTTACATTCTTGATGACTCTATTGGCATTTATCCCTCGTTCATATGCCGAAGGAAAACATCGTGAGGAAAAAAGCCTGTCGTATACAGTGTGTAAACAGTGTGAATATATTATACACAAATACATGGACTGATCATATACTGGTACATGATCATCTATTGGGGCTTTTACCTTAGTAATAATTAATTTACAAAGAAGTTTCACTTCTGACATGACTTTTTTTTTATGTGAGTTTTACTAAAATGAACAATATTTCAGCATAAAAATCGAGCTAACAGAGTTCACTCAAGATCACCCGATAGCTTTGACCGACCATTTCAATATGACTGGATGCCAGTCCCGGAGAGCGACTTCGCCGTTCACACGCTACCGAATAAAAATAACGTAAAATTTAACGACGTCGACACATACCACGAATACAGATCGCGACACAAGCACACACCTCCGACAAAACAAAGAACTAAAGACAAAGTAAATACATTGGTAATTGAGGATACGTCTGAAACGGATAGTTCCGAACTGACGGATTTTCCTAACGAAGAACAGTCGGACGGAGATAGGATTGTCATTTATAAGATTTTGGATTCGAAACGCAAAAGGGACGATAAGAAAGTGAAAGCGATTAACAGGATTTTTAAGTCTGCCAAATTGAGTGATAAATGTGTGAAGGATGTCGAAGTTCAGGATAATACTAAGAATACGGAGAGCGCTTTCACGGTTAAACATGGAGAAGCTTTGGAGAATCTGAACGAAGGTAAGGTTTAAATTCCCCTTAGGGAGCGTTCAAGTATTACGTCACGCAATTTTTGGAGAATCTTGACCCCCTCCCCCCCATGTAACGCGCCGTAACGTTTTTCTGTAACCAATAGTGAAACGTTCCTTTCACTCTTTATACCTAAAACTTACCATTACGTGGTGTAAAGTACTGGAAAGTCGAAAATAATATTAACAATAACGCGTATTTCAATCCCCGCCCCGCATTGTAATGTTTTACAAAAGGAACCCCCCTCCAAAATTCATTACGTTATACGCTCCCTTATTAGACTGTCTAAAGTTAGTAATTCTTTTTTGGGAAAAGGGATACTTTTATTTAATAAAATCCCAATTTTATCTCTGCCATTTAATAAATTTAAGAAATGTATTAAAGAAAAGCTATTAACGATGATCTAGTTGATAAAAGGGCCTAGTGCTAGACAGGCTACTTTTAATTATTTTGCGATGTTTGTTTTGAAATAAGTGTTTTTGATAATTTGCTATTTTAAAAGAGTACCGGCTTTTTCTCTATTTTATTTTAGATAAACATTACAATATGGTAAATCTGTTTAGTGTTTTCTATTTTGTCGTAACGCCCCTTGTGTGAGGTGATGTTATTTTGATTGTGTTTTGACTCAACTAACCTAAAAGTAGTGGCCCAGTGGCTTCAGTCGTAGGTTCGAACCCCGGCTGTGTGACTAAACTAATTTCTGTTTATTTGCGCATTTAACATTCGCTCGAATGCTAAAGGAAAACATCGCGAGGAAACCGTCGGAACAAGGCAAGAGAGGCTGATCACCTACTTGCCTATTAGATTGACAAATGATCATGAAATAGATACAGAAATCAGAGGCCCATATCTAAAAAAAAACTTGTTTTTTTTTTTCAGGTATCTACAAAGTTGGAGAAAATGGGTGAGTTTTTATATAACACGATATATATGTGTATGTCACGCAAATATTTTAAATTTATATCTTATTTAAATGCGCCAAAATTTAATGAAATTCGTTGCGGTAATTTAGAATAAATCAAAATAAACACTAATGATACGATTGATCCCAGAACCTACAATGTTATGAGTTGTTACACAAGCAATGTCGAGATGTGGAAGACGTGTACAGAAAGAAAGTCTTGGTGGTAATTATTTGTTAAACATATATATATATATAGAGTATGTTTGTAGCAAAGTACATAATAATACATCAAGGTTTTACTAAATGGCTTTCATAGCATACAAATAAATTTCCAAATATATATCATTCAAACTCAATTATAATCTAGTTGCGCTTAGTTCATGTATATTGTCTCTTGTGATAAAGTAAGGTCGTATAATTTGTTTATATTCGGGTTAATCATACCTCTTGTGGGTACAAACGCACTTTTACGTAACAATAAAAAAAATATAGATTTTTTTTAGAGTTGATTTTTAATAGGATTTTTTGTTTTAATATCACGTTTTACAATTCGTATAGATATTTCTGTTCCGTTTTTGATGAGAAAAAAATTTTGAAAAAAAAAATTTGACCTCCAAAACTGGAAGTAAATTTTTCAATTGAGTTTGACGTTACATACTTGACTATAATGTGCTGTAATTTAATTATTTTCTAGCTCCATAATACTCGCCATGATTGAATAAAAACGAAATTAGACAAAAGTTAGAGGTGACTTTGTGTTTTTTTGTATCGAGGAATTTATATTGTATTGTGTTTTTAATTATTAGAGTCAACTAATGATATTATAGTGAAGGATCATACATTTATATCATATACTTAGATCAAATCAAATCTATGATGAGTGATTTTGGTTAGTGCCCGCTTTTAAGTTCTTTGATAGTTACGTCGACACCAGTATTGTGCCGTTCAAGTATTACGTAAGCAGATTTCCTGCACTTTATGGAGATAAAGGTGGGGTTGGAGCCCCCCCCACCCTCTTGTCAGTAAAAGTAAGCAAAGCTCTCGAATTAAATAGTACATATTAATATTCTGTAGGAATCCTAGAAAATGCATTTCGTGTTCAAGCTTAGACAATGTGTGGGTAATATGTGTAAAAATGTAAATAATTACTGTTGACGTACTCACCAAATAAGAAAATCAAAGACCCCCCCTACCCCCCTCCCCTTAGTGCTTACGTAATACTTGAAGGGACTCTATGGGTATATATATATATATTCATTAATTGTATTTTCGCTACTGTAGTTTCCTATACATTTATTGTTACTATTAAAAGTATTATAGAGAGTAAAATATAATCATTGTTTTATTTCAGGGATAACATTGCGTCTACCTATTTTGAGAATAACAGCAATGTACCGACAGAGAAACAGGACGGGATTAAGAAGTCTGTTACTTCGCAAAATGGTGAGGCTCCACACTACCCTCCTAACAATAATAATCCTTCTTTTCATAGACAAGGTGGTGATCAGTCTTCTGTATGACACGTGCATCTGGATCACCATGGCCACATGATCACCATGCTTTGACCGAACCATTGTCTAAGGTTAAGCTAGCACAGCTTCTCAACACTATTTTGATAACTGATGTTTTTTGATTTCAGTTGAAAATCAACAAGTTCCAAGCACCAGTGCCAAGAACAGTACGTCTTTCAGGTTTGTATTCTGCGTAAAAGCTTGTTTGAGACTTACACAGTAATTACCGTAGATATAATATGGGAAACTTTAGAGTTCCAACATTAATTGTAATTATATTCGAAATTCCACCCGTATCACCTCGACGTCCACCGTTCTACAACTGAGCGCTTTTAGGCAGTTTTTGCCGAGCACCACCACTATGTGGAACCAGCTGAAGTATTTCCGAACCAATTCGACTTAGGGTCCTTCAAAAAAAAAGAGAGTACCAATTCTTAAAAGGCCGGCAACGCACTCGCTAGCCCTTTGGCATTGATTGTCCATGGGCGGCGGTATCACTTAACATCAGGCCTCTTGCCCCTCTGCCTCCAGTAACAAAAAAAAAATTCAGCAGTTTATGTGGCGTTTTCAAAAATGTCTATTAGAACTTTTTCTAATAGTTACAACTACAACAATTTCTTTCTGTCGCAGAGATATTAATGAATTAGCTTCCTAACGATTTAAAAAACTCTTGCAACAAAAAAAAAAAGATAGATTTTTACAGCTACAAGGACAAATTTTAATACAGGTCTTTGACCATGCTTGTTGGAAATAATTAAAAGGTCTGAACAATTTTAGTATTGTACTCACTAAACGTGTTTTAATCTTGTTAATATTTCTATAAATAAGACAACCTTCGCGACGATTTAAAAGTGAAAATATTTTGGCTTATAATAATTCTTTGGTAGCCAAAAATTACGTACTCGGAATTCAACATGCCAAGAGACCAAATCTACATATATGATAAAATATTAGATGTAACTAAATATAGATATATTTTATAGCTAAAATTAATTATCTATGATTGTGTAATAAAGTTTAAGGTGAAATTTGTAGACTGTAGTCTAAAATTCAAGGCTTTATTTATTTATTTCAGATGCGACCACACATGTCCTGGTTGCAAATGCCGCCATCAACCATTGTCTGCGCCACAATCCTCTTGCTCCTTTCAAACGGCCCCCAATGACGCACCCGAAGAGTTCGTCAAGCTTATCGATGGACAGGAAACTGGAAAGTTCTACATTGGAGCATCTGGTTTCTTAAAAGACGACAACTACGAAGTTGTAATTCAATTAAAGAAGAAAGAAATCGAAAAAAAGGAAATTGAAAAAGAAGAAAGGATTTCCAAAACCCAAGAAGCGGAAGATGTTACCAAAGATTTGACAAAACCCGACCCTATTAATGCTGAAGAACCGAAGACCTTGTCAAAAGATACCGAAGTACAATCATTCGCAGTTAATGTGAGGGAAAGTGCAGCACAGACTTCGGTTGACCAAGGTGTCGAAGAGGATGTGACACAAGAGCTGGAACAAGTTAAATCTAAAAATGTGGAAGACAAAAACGTTAATACAACGTTTCGAGATTCCTTTGCAATTCCTGATGTCCCAAAAAGTGATCCCGTAAGGCCAGCCACGTCTACCTACACCCAGACATCTTTCAGTTCACCCAATTCTAGACCTGTTTTCTTGCATATGACGTCATCTACGTCCACGGCATACATGAGTCCCCCCGACTTTATAGTTCCACAACTTTTGAGACGTCACGTACCTGACGTTCAAAATGAAAGACATAAACGGTGCTCGCATTCCTCCAGAGCAAGGAGATGTAGACACGTCAGCAGCACGACCGAGACTCCGCCGAATACTGCCCGAAATGAGTTTGCAGATGAAAAGAAACACAAAGTCTGCCACACACACAAACACAAAAGCGTCTCAACTTTACACAGAGAGTCTTCAAAGTCTATACATGGAACGCATTCGTCCAAAACTATGCCTAAATTGCGAATCACAGATAACAAAATTAATCCCGTGGTAAAGAAATATGTTAACAAATTGTTAGCCCTCAATAAAGAAGGGAAGAAAGCGATCCAAGTGATCAATCAAGATTGCAGCTCTGTCAATACGCCGAGTAGTTCTATCGTCAATGCTCCTTACAATATGGAAAAGGACGCCTCCTTAGATAACAAAATCTCTTTAGAACAAATAAAAATAATGCTCGAACAACAGATAGTTGACGATTACGCGAAACGCGCGAATAAAGATTGTCGACTCTCCGACTCGGCACACAACAGAAGTTTGCAAAAACTGCCGAAAAGGAAACATGTGCACAAAGTGAAGTCCCTAAACATATCCAGGCATTTATTTAAAAATAAACAAACCAATGATTCACATTATCAATTAAACGTCAATTCAAAGAAGCAGTCGTTTTCATCGACGTCTGACCGTTTAACGCAGAATAACGGTGAATTGACCAAACCAAAAAGTAGAAACAAAAGTTCACCAACAGAACAGAAGCACTCTAAGAGCGAACCGACGCCTACGGAAAACAAACAGCCGAAACGACACCCGCGCCTGACCCCTTGCTCCTCAACTCACACAAAAAGTGATGATTATACTCTTCATCGACATCGTCCTTCCTCAATTTCCACTGATTCAGAAAAAAGAGTCCAGACCGCATTTTCACACATTCCTCCCTCGGACTCCGCTCACACCAGTGGTATCGAAAGCGAAATAAACTTTATAAAATCAGCTGAAAATAAGCTTCAAAATATGGATAAAATCGCTGACCTCACCGAGAAATGTATGAATCGGTTATCTAACCTGGCCAAGGTGCTCGAAGAAGTGAGAAAAAACAAGTCAATGGTGTACAGTCATATTTCTACCTCAGATACTGCGTCAGACTCGGAGCCTAAACAGAAAATCCCAGATGATCGGCAAGTGTGTAACGGGACCGAGGAAAGAAACGATAATCTCGGTGTGCGTTATCAAGAAAACGCACAACGTGAATATATTCCTCTACTTCAAGACATACCTAAACCACTAACTCCTTCCACTTTATCTCTTTCTACAATCAGCGAAAAGTCAAACGCTCCGTCTTCCACGAGTGATCAGACAAGGCACAAAGCGAGGCCTCCGCCAGCTCTCTCCAGGATTAATCTAAAGACCGCACCGGATAATTTCGTGGTACCTCACGAACTGTCCACAGTTATGGAAGTTGATTCCCCGATGAGCGTCAAATTAAAAAATCAATCATCGCGGCAGAACTTGTACAGGGAATCGGCGCAAGAACCAACCGTTAGTGGCAACCGGGTTCCAGACGAAACGCAATTGGACCAGAATAAACTCCAAGCAAACTCATCTAAAACTCGATCGAAAACGCCTTCACTTACATCTGATGATACAAAGATGGAAATGATGGATATGAAAATATTTAATGATATTATGCTCAAGCCTTTTGTGAGTTTGCAAGAGTATGCAAAACAGTGCAGCGTTCCTATCGAAGACGCTTCTAATATGGAGGATCTGCCCAAGAATGAGCAAGGGGGCGGCGAAATCAGCTCTTTACATTCCGACGGTAGCCTTCCTGATGTAATTTCAGAGTTATTGAAAAGAAAACTCATAAGTGAGCCGTTTAAGTTCGATACGGCGACGGCGTCACAACTCACCACTAGCGTGTCATCGGAGTCTTCTCTATCACTCTTGGCCTTATCTAATATGTACAAAGCAAAGAGAAGATCAAGCAAGCACCTCGCAAACAAAGAGAATCTCACGGAGACTTCGGAAACGTTGAGTTTATCGTCAAATCCAGATTTGGAAAATGCCTTTCAGAAACTCGGTATGGGGTGGGCTTCTTCTACTTTAAAGAAAACGAAGGAGAGGTTGGCCTTGTCGTCTTCTTCGAACACATCCAGTTCGAGCTATAGCCAGTTGAAATTTAAAAGCTTCAATAAGGATTCTCCTACTTTAGCCACGGATTCTTCGCTGTCCGACACAAATAGGTCTAAAAATTTCGGTGACAGTGCAAAAAATGCCGTACAGCAAACCTCCGTCACCAATTCAATGATTGTCAAAGAGTTTCTCACGAATGAACTTGCTAAAAAAATTATTTTTACGAATCAATCGAGTAGAAATGCTGACGAATTTGTGTCCTTGTATGAAACGAAGATGCCAGAGGAAATTAGGGACACACCGGAAAAAACTAGGGAGGGAGATCAGTCTGTCGCGAGCCAAACGAATAGAGCGAGGACTTCCACCCCAGTGCAAATTTTCAAGTCTACCACTTATCACACAACATCCAGTTCCAACGCTTCCAACGGATTATTCAGCAATGCTGAAGAACTGTCTTCGGTGAAAGTGACCTCTACCTCCATACGAAATCATTCCACGTCTGATAAAGATGATTTAACCATTCCAAATTGCAGCCTCAAAAGAAAAGGCTCTGATAATAGCAAAAGCGCGTGACCATTTTTTGTTTATAATAATTTTGTTATTTATATTTTTTTTATACATTCCTACTTGTCTTAAAAACTTTGTTAATGTTTTGTTTTGACTATATGTATATAACATTGAGATAATGATTTAATAATATTCAGTAATAAATTGAACATGTACTTAATTAATATTTTTATTTGCAATGTCTAATTCTATCTGATCATAGATATCTTAACCACAATGTGAAAAAGTACTTGTCTTGACTTACTTGGGTATTTTTAAAAGTCAACTGTTCAAATCTCATTTAATACAACTCCAGTTCTACTAAAATTTAAATAATTTTTCTATTTTTCTTAAAATCTTTTCTGCATATACCAGAAACTTATTTGTCGAGTTCTAGAAACAATTTTGACTTAACTTAATATTGGCTGTATCTATAAATGGCATGGCTTATTTAATGAAACACTGTGTCAAGCAATGGTCACATTTATTTATAACGGTCACATTATAATCAAGACAATATCACATAAGTACCTTTAAGGTTATGGAGTGTCAAAAAATAAATATTACGAATAGCATTCTTAAACAATATTTAAGCAGAATAACATCTAAATCACAGAACAAAATAGCTAAATTAAATTATTACTTATTTATATAGCTATTTATGGGCATATTCAATTATTTTAAAATTATTTGGGTATAATTTATGTTGCTTGTACGTATTAGGCACCATAAAATTAAATATAAGAGGTCTCTTATAAAATCCCTAAATACGCCCTTTATCGCTTAAGTCCTGTGTGCATCCACGATCACATAGATTATGTCATTAAATACTGAAAAATAAAATTTTGTCTAAACATTTATCTAAATACAGAAAAACAAAGTTATTCTGGTTTCTTATCAGATTTAAATAAATATCTTTCTGCAAGTGAATATGCTAGGCCCATTGTAAGTGCTGCAACGGCAGTTCCTTGGGCTGCAACTCGTAACTGCATGAGGAATACACTTGTACTCATCTGACCTCTGTTCTTGTATTTGTATGCACCAACACCACAAACACCAATACATCCCATTATACCTATCAAACAAACAATCAATGTTACATTATATTTCATTGGCACCTTTATTTGTTTAACATAAAAATGATAAAATAACAAGAAATGTAAATAATAATTGACATCACTTTATATAGATAGATAGTAGATACAATACACAACTATCTCCAGACTAACTAGACCATGAGTAACCATAAGAAGATATTATTACAATACTATAATATAAAAAAATACAAAGATATGCACAAATGTGTAGCAATAGATACAAGTACACTCCATTAGGTAACTATAAATCATTGTTGCACCCACTATTTTGACCAATTTTTTTTTCTTACCAAGAATCATGAATGGTGAATCTTTAGATTTTCTTGCTATTCGCTCTGCTTGAGATTCGTCTTTGTATTCGAAGATTGGTTGTTGATCCATTTTGAGATTCAAGAGTGAACTGTAAATGTATTAGGAACCTCATACAGCAAAAATTAATCTTAGTTTATCAGCTGGGTAGCTGAAGATCTGGGTAGATCTTGCGGTAATAATCTTTTCGGTTTGGGGTAAAACTTCCATGGGAAAGTTTTTAAAAGCATATAAAAGATTACTTTAACATTAAAGTAATGACTACATTATCAGGGTGATTGTATACAGTACATAATAAAAATAATATTAAAGTATGTACGTAATAAAAACATCGTTTTAGCAATTACTTAAACTAAATTAGTGGAAATAAACCATGTCTTTGCCTTTTGATTACGCATATCATAATATTATTTTTTCAGAAAATATAAAACACAACTTACATCCTTAGATCTAAAGAACTATAAAATTATATAATTTTTGAAATATCCACATTGCATCACATTTGCTCAGAATTAAAGACATCAGTGACCTTGAGATTTTATATTACACATTTTTACTTCAAGTTGTGCTGTAATTTTGACATAATGATTGAAATGTCAAGATCACGAAACACAGATAAAGTCACATCACAGTAAAAACACATCTCATTAAAATTCTCGATTACATCGCCAATCAAGTCTCTTTAAGAATCGCCAGAATATTCTATTCTATTCTATTCTATATCTTAGTAATTATTTTTATTTAGAATATATATACCTAACTAATTATAACACTAAAATATATGAAATATAAAATCTGGCCCGTATACAATATTAATCAATTTATAATAAAAAAAGTATTTTTATAAAATTATTGTATCTCGTTTGTACTTAACAAATTATTTGCGATTCTTATGTGTATTAATAAAACAATTGTTCCTTTACTTAATTACAAACACTCCAAAATTATAAACTAATTTAGACAACCGAAATCATCTTATAAATGTATTTGTACACTTAATTAAAATGCGGATACTGCCCACAAAAAAGGGCTAAAACAACGGGTATCCAAAAATCGTTCCAAACATTTAGTGTAAGTTGTAAACGAATTTATTTACAATAGATATAGATAATAATATAATATTACTAATAAACTTAAAAAGTATGATTAACATTAGCGTTTCTGGATCCACGTTATCTGGTATAGTTCATAAAATAGGTACATAGCTCTAATTTGGTTAAGTAAAACTTAGTTTTGAAGTAGGAAATATTGGAATCTACGAAATCTATGAATAATATCTTCGAACTTCAGCCAAAATAGATTCATATGTGGATTCATCTATTATAACAAATCTTTTTGCCCGACGACTGAAGTAATAAATATCACCGGTGTATATATCAAACCACAGAGCATGGATATGCAGATCGTGTTTCTCTAATCGTTTTTTTAACATACCGTATGACGCCACATTTTGTACCTGTTGCAGTGTGTTTACCTGTTAAATACAGCTATAGTTTAAATTTGATTAAAAGGAATGTGAAGTGACTGAAGAGACTATGCTACTTACTTGTGAAAGTTTATCTTCAATACAAAAATTATTTTCCGGATCAATATAGGCTACAAATTTCCTTTGTGGAGTCTCGGCAGAGAATAGCATGGGTTTATTAAAATCTCCCTTCATTTCTAAGAATTTTTTCAAACTCGACTGTGCGTGTGTACACAACCAAGATTTCAAAGGCGAAATCCTTCGTTGTTCCTGTAAATTTATGGGCTGTGTGATTTTTGCTTAAAATCATAGTAAAAGTTATAAAGATGTCATGTATATAAAGATAAATTACATATATTTATTCGAAAAAAAAATCACCTTTAAAATATAAGTACAAAAGGTGTAAAATTAAAAAATTACTTCATATCTAAATAGAAACATATAAAAAAGTGTTTTTTTTTCAATGGCACCAGCACTGGTTATAGTGGCGCCCGCATACATGATCTTATTACAACAATATCACTCTCTAGTATTCAATAGTATTACAATATTCGTGTTATTTGTATCTAATATTTTACAACCACTATTATATACTTACGACACTAGATTCTTTTTTGCTCCTTAAATCATACAAGAGATTCATAGCTTTACAGTCACTATGTCCACAGACAATAACATGTCTTACATTATTTATAATGCAGCTGAGTTCAAGACCAGCTGGTTCACAACTTGTCATCTCGTCAATAAAGGCTTCAGAATGTGGAATGAGATTTCCAGCATTTCTAACTGTAAATTATTTTTGATATTTTTAAACATTGATTTGAGGGGTAACAAAATTACAAGATCTTTAAAGCCAAAATAATTTTTGTGTGAATAATGACAAAAATTAGTAATTTTTTATAGCGAATATATAATTACCTACCGACAAACATGTCACCAACAGACGTCTCTGTGAATCTCGTAGGTATCATTCTGCTGTCCATACATGTATAAAATATTGCTTTTGGCTAAAATACAATAAATATTTTACGTCTTACTTGCCATTACATAGTATTTTTAATAAATGTAATTATCAGCGGGTAGTCAAAAATATTGTGATATTATATATACTACAGCTATTGTACTTTCAGTCAAATAAAAAAGCATGATTGTTAGATTGACATTAACTAAAATTGTCAATTGTCAATCGTGCTAACAAGAAATACCAAAACCAAAGACTAACCAAAACATTGTGGTTAATGTTATAAAATAAATTATTTCGCTAGCGCTCAGCATCAAAGTATTTATCTACGGGACAAAAAGAAATATATATTTGTATTTGAAACGATTTTCATAATTTATCATATATAGTGTCAATTACTTTGCCTACGTGATTTACACGAAAGTGTAAAATAAGAAACTATAACAAAGGTTAGTTTTACTCACCACTGGGTTGTCTTTAACTTGTTCGAATTGTTTAACCATACTAGCTCGATCCAAAACACGATATCTCATAATACCTCTCAAGATTCTATCCATTTTTATTTATCAGTTACTCGTAGTTCCCGACATTTAGGTGAGAAAGCGCAAAATTCGTTGCACGAGCACCGAACCCGTTTTTGACATTACTGACCTTCATTTAATTTCTTATCACGAATCACGGTCTTACTAGCATACTGACAGAAGTACCTACTCACTGTGTACTCTGTACCCTGAGTAGAAACTAGAATAATTATCGCATTTAAGTTTATCAGAGATCTGAAATTTGTCATGTCTTATTATATTGTTCCTGTACAATCAAATATGCGTATTTTTGGTTCTATTACTCTGTTATATTACAGTTAATAGTATGAATTTATTTTATTTTTAGATGAATGCTGAATGTGCTTTTGGTGATGGAGCTAAAGTAGAAAAAGAGGCCCCATCTCTCCCTTTAAACCATCGTTTTCTTGAACCAGAGAAAGCAGTTAAAACAATTACAGATATGGCAATTTGGGAGAAATCGGAGGCTTATATGGAATATACAGGCTTTATTGTCACATTAAATGAGGCTATCAGAGCAAAACCACTGTCAGTTGACTGTAAAGTATCCCACAACATTAAAAAACTTAATGAATTACTTGATAAAATTAATAATTTAATTGATGTGTTTCCCCCAATTGAGCAGCCACAAAGGTTTGGAAATGTTGCATTCAAAGATTGGTTAAATCAAGTCAGGTTAAATTCAACGACATATCTTCAAGAAGCGTTAGATCCTAAACTGCACTTAGCCATACCAGAAATCAAAGTGTACCTTGAAGAGAGTTTTGGTAACTCAACTAGAATTGATTATGGTACAGGCCACGAAATGTCTTTCATTATGTTTTTGTGCTGTCTCTACAAAATAAGTTGCTTACAATTAGATGATAATGTGTCCACTGTGTTCATTTTGTTTAATAAATATTTGAAAATAGCAAGGAGATTGCAGCAGACATATAGAATGGAACCAGCTGGTAGTCACGGCGTGTGGAGTTTAGATGATTACCAGTTTGTACCATTTATCTGGGGTAGCTCCCAGCTTATTGATCAACCCAGAATATACCCACCTGCCAAATTTGTTGAGGAAGATATAATTGAGAAATATTCTAATGACTACATATTTTTATCATGCATTAAATACATTAAGGAAGTAAAGAAAGGTCCATTTGCAGAACACTCAAATCAATTATGGAGCATTAGTGCTGTGGGATCTTGGGCTAAAATAAATCAGGGTCTTATAAAAATGTATAAGAAAGAGGTGCTCGGCAAGTTTCCTGTTATTCAGCATGTATTATTTGGATCTCTTTTACCAATACGTAGATTTCCTATTCAACAATAAGTTTTTATATAAATTGTCTAATCAGTATCATTATTGTATTAGTATATACATTGTGCTTGTGTTGTAGGAACTCATCCTAAATGTGATATTAATTATAATCCTTATTTAAAAACAATTGGCTTAAAACGCTGTAATTTATTATTTGTTGATGATAACTTGATACTCCTTTTTTATTAAATGGTAAAACTTAAATTGATATTTTTATTTAACAGCCTATATGAAATAAAATTTTGCCTTTATAAAGTATAATTTAATTCATACAATCTCACACTAACATTCATAGCACACAAGTAAATAATTAAATTTGTATGACATACAATTACTTAAAAACTATACTATTTTGCACTAACTAAAAATCTAAATTCATACTACAGTTATATTAAACGCCCACCAAAAAGTCTTCATAAATTAATCAACAAATCACAAACTTTTATAAAAGTTATAAAAATCATGGATTTTTAAATATCCAAATGTGTTATATATAACTCGTATCTATATTTCTTCTTATAAGAAGTAATTAGACACATTTTTTTAAGTGACAACTAAACTAATGTTCATTTGGTAATGTGGTAATAGCCTCTGGTTTCTTAGCAAAGTGGTTTTTGTACAATGTGTAGGCCATTCCTACAGTTAGGGCTCCGACGGCGGTTCCCTGAGCGATTACTCGGAACTGCATTAGAAATACGCTGGTACTCATTGCCCCGCGCCGCTTAAACGCGTATGCTCCGTAGCCCACGGCTGCTGCTAGACCCCCTAGTCCTGTCAATAGAAAAAAATAATTAGTAAAACGTGTAACTTTTTATAACGAATTTCAAGAGACCGAGCATTATCTTTCGTTATACACAGTTTTCGTTATAAGGAGTGACATGAAAAAAGGAACAAATTTAACCAATTACAATAATTTATAATTTTACTACTATCAATAGGTAAATTATTCTAAACACAACGCTTTTCTTTTACTGGCCATCTTGACAGTTTCAAAGTTTGTTTACAACTGATAATACACGATAGGTGACGGTGGTGCGTTTAGTAACCAACCACGTTTAGAGACCAAAATTTCCTACAGGCAATGTTATCTAAGAATAATGGCACACGTGTTAATGCAATTAAAGCGAAGAATTCCGAGAAGGCTGTTTATGACCTCAGGTGTCTTAGAAATTTCGGCACCTCAAAAGTTTAGTTTTGAGGTGCGAAGTAAGCTGATTATAAAAACAATTACACATAAGTATGTTGTTGATGCCGAAATATGAAAATATTTCTTTATTATAGAGAATGGCTGATGCGTTATAAAGAGTGAATTATAGAATGGTTTTTGTGTTAAACTAAACAAATGTTACTATCTTTATGTTATATAGAGCTTTTCGTTATAACAAATGATGTTATAAAGAATTTACACTACATTTAAATATTTAATAAGTTTACATAAAACTGCATTATGTGCATATAAATATTTTTATTGTATTAACATGTGGAAGAGTTGTGTTCTCAAAAACGAAATAATTGGCTTGAAAATATCATAAATCGTTGAATGTGTCTTGTTATAGCTTTTAATTATTTAATTTAGTACCAGAATTTTCCTCCTACTTCGCTTTGGTAAACAAACACTGGGCAAGTTGTACTGAGCTTATTATATGTAAAGAAAATACAAATTTTATTTTATAATATTTATTTTCTTTAAAATGTGTGAGTCTTCAGCTGATAAGTCATCGTTACTCAACAAAACGATTGATAAATATCGGCGATAAAAATTCCGTTAATGTTATATAATTAGCCAAAGCGAACTTGTTGGTAGGACGATACCTGAGACTGGATGCAAGAGGATAGGTACTGCGAAAAACTCTGGAGCTTTGCCAATCATGATGAATAATTACGATAATATGGATAATTCTTAGTAAAGATCCCCGCTATTTATTACGAGAATGTGCGGGTGCAATTCATGTGGAATCGCTGGCATTAGTTATATTTATAGTTAAACAGTCTTACCTATAACCATAAAAGGTGATTCCTTTGATTTACGAGCCAACCTATCACTATGAGACTCTTCTTGGTATTCGAAAATTGGTTTTTCCATGGCCATTTTGGATTCTAAAACAAGGAACATATTATTTTATTGGTATAAGCGAACACAGTACAAAGTAGGTGGAAGCATCTACAATTTTATAAATTACAGTGAGATCATCTTAACCAATCACAAAGTGAACAATTTAGCGAGTCTCTAAAGTGGAGCCACAATTTTAGACCGGCTTCAAAAAAGGTTTTTAGAAACTAGTTTGTCCCCAGACTACTTAAATACAATCGTAAGGGAAATCCTAAAAGAGGAATACCAGACACGTGCAATTGTTTTCGAAAAACATAATTTAAAATAGAAATGATGATGTTAATTATAGGTATGTTGTTATAATTTTTCTTTAATATTATTATGAATTGTGTGATACACCAATTAAGCCATAAAGACAGTAATAAATATACACAATTACACAAACTAACGCGGTAATTTTTGCCACATATTATTCGTCATCTTATCATTCTATAGTTACATGAACTTCAGAATTTTATCAATTTAAAATAATTTCATTAAATTTTGAACTATTGCACAATATATTACAACATATTCATATATGTAAAAATACTTTTATTAATATATTATAACAATTTATTTTTCTATGTAACACAATTATGTATCAACAATTGTGCCACGTAAAATCGAAAATAAGCAGTAGATATATTCTTTAAACAAACAACAAAACACTCATAAATTCGTATAATCTCGCAAACTAATTTTCAGAAAAGTAAAAATAACTTACACAAAGTCAAGGTCAATTATCACCAGCACTATAAAATTGTTAACTCAACACGTCTGGAACGTACAGTTATCAATGAGTGACTGTGGACTGTTGTCGTCACTCTTCGAACTTGCTGTGAGGGAAAACCTTTACGCGAAATATATTGCAGTACGAGGAAAAGAACGGCTGTGCGCACAAAAGTATATATTATATATATATATTTTTATTGAGGAAAATACTCGTATAGTTGTCGGTTTTATTTCAGCTGTTATATGTAAATAAAAGCGCGCTTAGTGATCTAAATTCGGGGTAATTTATAGTTTTTTTAAAGAAGAAATATTTATTTGTATAATAGGGATTTTAGTTGTCTTTTAATCTTACATACAAAGTCACTTTATATGAAATACTATCTAACATATACAATAAATAATATGGCTAATAAGTAATATTATCTCGACTTAATTTTCTACAATACTAGTAAATAGCTTAAGCTAAGATAATGTTCATAAACCGTCTTAGTGTTATATAATATTTAGTTGTAGTGGTATACCTCAAATGGTACTAGACCGTTAACAAATTCTTTCACTTTTTAATTAAAACGGAATTGATATTATCCCTATTTTATTCCTAACATATTAATTATAATTAAAATTAACGTAAATTTCAATAAATACCCACCGATATACTACCAAAGTGACTTGTAACTCACTTTCTCTCTAGACATACTTTGTTAATTTTGTATAATCATGTATAATTTTGTCATGATCAAAAAAAGAGAGCTAAATCAATCAACGCGTCATTTATAATTTTTGTGCCATTTTCCTCTTGCAACCAGTTTTGTGTCTCCATTCTTTAGACGCAGGGGACTCCGGACGTAATTATGATGACTCACCATACGCTCTTGCGTCATTACAAGAAGCATCACGTACCGTTGGTACAGTTTTGTTTACGTCCTATGATGCAAGAGTGGACATATTAATAATTTACCTTCACAGTAACATGTTCACGAATAGCATACATCGATATGTAATCTGATTTTCAAGTATTCACACACACATAAATAATACTATTATTTATTAAAGACACTAGCTGCAAAATGCTGACGCGTGCGTATTAAGGAGAAATTCCCTAATTTCTTTTTAAAAGTATTCAGCGAAGTGGTCCTATATTAATTAGAGGTTTCAGTGCAAGACCTCGAAGATTTATTCTCCTTTAAAGTAGATAAATATATTGTCAATGTGTTGAACATAGCCACAAATAATTTTGTATGTTTCTATCAGATTTCCTCCTTTCCATCTGTCTTTAAGAAGCGTTAGGCGAAGGATTTTTATGCGTCCATCATTTGGTGAGTTCTTAAGATTTCTAACCATTTTTGTTGCCTCCGATGTAAATTTTTCTTCTTGAAAAAGGCTTCTTCGATGCAAAAGCATATTCCGACAGACAGCCACTGTATAGATTTTATATAATTTTAGAAAAGTGATTGGTGTAAGGTATATAAATCAGTGGCGCTACAACCTCTTTTCTCTTGGCCTCAGATTTCTGAATCTGTTTCTGGATAATTTTTAAATCTAATAGGCAAGTAGGTGATCAGCCTCCAGTGCCTGACACACGTCGTCGACTTTTTGGGTCTAAGACATGTCGGTTTCCTCACGATGTTTTCTTTCACCGTTCGAGCAAATGTTAAATGCGCACATAGAAAGAAAGTCCATTGGTGCACAGCCGGGGATCGAACCTACGACCTCAGGTATGAGAGTCGCACGCTGAAGCCACTAGGCCAACACTGCTCGAGGTATATAATTTACTATTTGTAATATATTATAATATGTATAGGGGCTATAATTATTGATTTGAAGACGACATTACTCGACAACAAACTCTGGGTGGGACCGAAAATAGCCTTGCTATTTTGTTTACAAGAAAAAATATAAGTATAGCCTTAACAAGAATTTTTAACGCTGAATATTTATTTATTACACATTATAAAACGATGATATATATAATAAAACTAAAAGTGATATTTATACAATAATTAGAAAACCTTTTGCTATACATTAATCTTCTCTAAGTACGTTTTTACCCCGGATGTCAGTTCCAATAAGAAAACTTATGATTATCGCGTGCATAGCGAGATTAGTGATGGCCGAATCAGTCCAAACCTTTTTTTAATAATACCATACAACTTCAGCACTGTAAGATATTTATAGATAACGGATGATTGTATCAACAAGGCCAACGCGTCACGATCACGGCTACCTTTTGTTGATTAGAATTTAGAGGGACATTAAATTAATAGATATAAGTGAATAGTTATCAAATTGAATAATCCCGTCTGGAGATAGAATCGTTAAACTCTGGACATCGCAAAACGTACTTTTACGTGTTAAATGCTACTAAATTTGAATCTTTGTAACTGAAATAATTCGTAGGCTTATATAGGTATCACTATTATTAACTGACTTCAAAAAAAGATGTCCGTTTGAACGGTTTGAATGCGCTATTGTTGGAGTTGTATGATATTTCAGTATGGTCTAGTTTGGTTTTTCTAATAGGAGAAAATAATGCTGTGCAATTCGTATAGATCTTTTTATTCCCTTTTTAATTAGAAAATAAATTTTGAAAAACAAAAAAAAAATGTTTCAAATGAGTTTTATTCCAAAAAATGTGAGCCGTCACGGGACGCCTGGCAGATGTGAAACATCGACATTATTTTGTAAAAGTAATATGCAGAAAAGAACAGATTGTGATAGGAACTAAATATGTCATAATGATAAAATAAAATATTACGATTTTTTTCCAGATAACGATGACTATTTATTGAATAAACATTTATTTTAATTAAATACAAAAATTTACGAATTTATTTCAAATCGTGACTAATTAATTCGTTTAATCAGTGACTTCGAAATACACACACCGTACACACTACTGCATATATACTGTATATATATACCATCATATAGCGTGGCGTCGCCACGGCATGCGTCGCCACGCCTGAAATCGATTTTACGTACGGCTATAGATGTTTCACATCAAAACAGGCAAATACATATAGTATAGCCAAAGAGATTTTATTACAAGTTCATACATAGTATAATACGAAAAGACTTTTTCCCCAACCTAATATGTATACCAAAGTATAGCGTGGCGACCCGTCGCCACGGCAAGCGTCGCCACGCCAACAATTCGGTTTACAAGTGAGCCTATAGATGTTTCACATCAAAATAGTTCAAAGTACACTCTACGTATATTAGAAGTTTCATAGTGGGATGGTTACTAGTTAGTAACATAGGTGAATGAATGTACATGCATGTCGCACTGAGTGATTGATGTGACGATGGAGGTACCTGCTTGTATAACGTATTTGCATCGTAACATAATGAAATATCGTATCATATTCAAAACGACTTTATTTTTATAATTTTTACTGTTTTACAAAAAGAATGTATCCAAAAGTTGCTTCTGTTTATAAGGAGTCCTTCGGTTGTTGGAATAAAGGCATGCAATTTTTTTACAAAATTATTCTGCTGTCCACGTGAAATGCCCCATGTCAAAAAGTGATATAATATGTCAAAATATGCAGAAAAGAACAGATTGTGATAGGAACTAAATATGTCATAATGATAAAATAAAATATTACGATTTTTTTCCGGATAACGATGACTATTTATTGAATAAACATTTATTTTCATTAAATACAAAAATTTACGAATTTATTTCAAATGGGGACGGTACTTAATTCGTTTAATCAGTGACTTCGAAATACACACTACTGCATATAGACTGGTATATATACATACCATCATATAGATGTTTCACATCAATAAAACAACTTAATTGCATATAAAGTTTAATAAGACGATAAATTAACGATTCTAAATAAAAAAGAATGAATAGCAAATAGTTTTGTAACTTTCGTGTGTATCAGGGCCTAGTCATTTTACTGCCATTCTTATCGAATATTTCTCATCAATACACCTTTTGGCAATTTGGAATGCACGTAAATTTTAACAATTCAAGTCTTTTAACTGTTAAAATGTTTATTAAAACAATTGCAGCTATTTAGTAGTGTTTCACAAATTTAAATTAATTCTTCTGAGGGAGTTTTTTTTTCATGTTGCAATTTTCTCGCAGACGATATTGAATTTAAGCCCTTGGATGATCTTTGATGAATAAGACCATATTTAAATGACAAATATTCTCCATTATTTAACTTAAATAACTTTAAATATATTACTCAACAAACGATATGAAATGTCATGTTTAAAACTGTGAATTATCAACGAAAATTAATTATTTTAATACAATTTTCTAACTAGAAATACCCTCGTGACCATTCCTGGATTCAATTACATGTGAATAATTCAGGCCACTGGCCTAGAAATTTCAGTGAAACAGATACTCTAGTGAGCTAGAGGCCACCCAAACATACAGTTTCGAGTAACTACTGGTGTCATACTCGTGAACGGGTGCTACTTGTGGTAACTGGTCAGACTTAAATTCGCGTATGCAAATTAAAATTCAAAAATCATTTAATCATATAGGTAACACATTATACACTTATGACTTGTCAGTAAAGAAATACACATTAATGCTTCTAATTTTACATTTAGTGCCAGTTCTCAAATCAAGGGCGTAGAACGCAAGACAAGAACTGGCAATAAACTCTCCGCCACTCTTTTTAATTGCCATGTTTTTTTTTACACATTGTTTGTAAGGAGCTGCAACCATTACACCATGTTCCACATGACATCTTAAGTAATTAATAATAATAACATAATCATCACTCGTGAACGGTTGCTACTTGTGGTGACTGGTCGTACTTGAATTCGGTATGCGGTGATATTAATTATTTCGACTATGTATTTGCGTGTTGTTCCCAAAAGAATGTAAGAGCGTGCCCCTATTTTTACCATGCCTCCCGCTGATAGAGGACAAATCTTTGTTTTTAAACTATTTTATTATTATTAATTACTTAAGATGTCATGTGGAAAATGGTGTAATGGTTGTAGCTCCTTACAAACATTGTATAAAACAAAAAACTTGATTAATAAGAGGGGCGGAGTGTTTATTGCCAGTTCTTCTCTTCCGTTCTACGCCCTTTATTTGAGAACTGGCAGTAAATGTAAAATTGGAAGCATATATATTATATTTCTTTTTTGACGTTCACAAGTTTACATTGTGTTACCTATATAAATTAATGATTTTGATTACCATACGATATAAACACTACTTAATGGTATTTACATATTATAGTTTAGTAAGGATTACTTCCTCTACTTCAGTAATGTCATTTGAGTTAAATATCAAAGTCAGGTCACTACTATACTCGTGCGATGTTTATGAAAGTTGTATAAACCAAAAACGTCGTAAATAGGAAATAGTACGTATTTAATAATGTTATTACTCGTATTTGTGTTGTCTATGCTGTCTTAAAACTAACAATCGAATTTCAACTTTTTTTTCACCGATCAATCTCCTTCGTGCCTTTTCCATCTACACGACACTGGCGAAGTACCTTGTGCCCAGTTGGCACAAATAAAAAACATTTAAAAAAAAAACGAATTTCCCAAGTTACGGCTTTCCAGTCCGTTCATCAGCATTAGCTAACCTAGTAAAAAATAATATCTAAACAGTATGTTAACTAAGAATTTTTTATAGAATTTCTTCCAGATCATTGTTCTATATTGATTATCTGTAGCCTTCCATAAAGAAATCCATCATTTCTATACGATATTTAATGATACATATTGTAAAGTAAAACTACAGCAATTTCTTCGAAATATAAGGTTTATAAAATTTAATAGAAAAACAATATAACATGCTAAGTTCTTGTGTGACAGTCACAAATAATCTAGGCCTAGAGTGTTACAATATTACTTCAAATTCCTGTGAATTTATGTTTTGTAATGGGAATTAATTTTTTTAAATAATTTTTGCCGTTTACATAGGAATCAAAAATGCATCCAAAATTGTTGAATTTGATTTGCTATTTTTTTTTAAAGAGTTAATAGACATTTACTTCTACGCGAGTTCTCTTCTCTTTCCTTCATATTGTGATGATATATCTAATCCTGTTTTCCCGTTACTGTATAGTTCACACCAATATAAAGTAAAATTGCTTGCTTCGGCCATAAATTACAAATTTGAACAATAAATTTTTTACACATTAATAGGCATTAAACAATTCGAATTCTTTTAATAAAATTACAGTAAAGCTACTGCAATTACAGTATATCCGGGAGCCATCAGTGTCAGTGGTAATGGTCCGCCGAGACCTTCTCGAGCTTCTCAAAATGCCGCCTGGCGTTGCGTATATTGAGGAGCGTCGCTTCAGAGGGGATTTTCGGATCAGACAGCTCCACCATGACGTACGTGTTGGTCGTGAAGCCGTCGATAAAGGCCGCGAAAGCGCTATTGCGGACCTCCATGCTTTGAAACTGCGCCGCCAGCTTCGAGCAGGACAATTTGAACTGTTTCACGATATTGGAAACCTTTTCGAAGCGATGAGCGTCCCTGTGGGCTCGCCGTTGACAGTGGGACACCACCAGGAATGTGGCTCGCTCGAATAGGAGTACCTGATTTTGAGTATGGCATTAACTCTCATTTATGTCATCCTAAATACCTACTTTATAATTTAGACAAGGGTTGTACAATAAAAAGAGATAATGCGATACATTTTAATAAAAACTGTCAAGCTTAGCCCAGGCATTAGACGTTTTGTTGTGTTTGTTGATTGTTTCTCTCGAAATGGTAAATACAACCAGAAACCTTAGCTATTTACCCAAGTTATGTAAAAGCTATTCCACTATTTAGTACAGAAGGTGGGAGGTAAAGAGAACCCTACAGTGTGGGTTTCAAAGTTGAATATTGTTAACAAGTTGTCATTAATACATACCTCATCAGCATCAACAATTGCAGCAAACTGTTTGAGCGATGACTCCAACACTTTGACATTGGGTATTAATTTATATACTATACTCGACCACGCTCTGAAAATGATAACAATATCGTTAAATACTAGTTTTACTAAGCAGTTTAAAAATAGACATTATATTATAGATTTTATTATTTATTTAAGTTTCCAAGCATGTCTTTAGTAGGTGTACAATTGTCCACAGATTTGTCGTCTAAAAGTCAAAATGTTTCATTTAAATCAAGTATACCTAAGTATCAAACCTCATCAGTCAAACATGCTAACTAAAGATGCATTTATTGGGTATTCTATGTATAAATTAGGGCACAATTATAAAATTAAACATCTTTAAAGGTACTTCTTAAAAACGGTGGAATGTGTTGCAGAACTATAGTTCATAAATTAATTTACAAACACGGCCATACACTAAACTCACATACAGTGTAGTCTTGAATATGCCTGTAGACATTTCACTTTTAAGTGTGATTCCACAATTCACATGATATCAACTTTATTTTATTGCCAAATAAAATTAACCCACTTTGGGAAACAATTTATTTAAGTTAATACAAATCTTCTTATTTGTTAACAATAATATGAAATTACTCATAATATCTATTTATTTGCAAAATGACACACAAGTGATAAGGGAAATTTATGACTCAATGTACAAAACATATAATATGTAACATTCAACGTCTATAATATCTGATATATAGGATGTTTATGACTATTGTTATAGAATCACAGTTTTTTTTTGGAACTTATAAATCATTGAAATTATTTAAGATTGTGTCCCTGATATGAAAAATAAACTATATAGAACTTACTTATATAGTGTTTCATCCCAAATACTTGTTCTAAAGCATGTGCACTCTAACGGCTTTGAAAGCCCTTTAAGATCCTCTTCACGACTCTTAAATATTTCATCTCGCCTTTCCTCAGCAACTAGATCCATTTTGTGAACTAAACAGAAAATTCTTGCTTCTGGTGAGTTCTGAAATATAGTTATAGGTTTTGTCATAGATACCTTAACTGTATATCTTGGAAGTAGCAAAATATAAAGTCAAGGTTATGTATGATGTTCCTACAATTATCTGCAATAGGAAATCACACTGTATGTATGTACACATTAATCTTTGGAAATTGCAATTATTGATTACAGTGATACTCCAACTCAAACTCTAAATAAATATCAATTTAAGTAAGATTTCCTTTTTTTATATAAACATAAATTATAAAATGAAAGTACCTGTAATATAGCTTCTAAGCAAGACTGGTAATAATGATAATCTTTTTCCATTTCACGGCTTTCAACATCAAAAACATATATTAAGACTTCAACATTTCTAAATATGTTGTCTCTTTGTGATGCAAAGTAGTTCTCCATAAAAGCCTCCTGGCCCCCACAATCCCAAAGATTAAGCACAAGGTTCCCAAGAAACCTTACATGGGAATGTTCTACATCAACTGTAACAGGCACATGGATTAAATATATCAATACATATGATTTACTTAAATTTCTTCTTTGTTTATAAACTGTACGTACTTGTGGCACCCAATCTGCGTGTATCTCTTGCTATGTAGTTTGCAAATATGATAGACCTCATACTCGTCTTGCCTGAACCACTTTTACCCATCAACAATACCTAGAAGATATTTTAATAAATCTTACAAAAACACTTGAAACATACCAAAGTTTATATATTAGAAATTGATAAGATAGACAACGTACCTTTTTCTTCATGATTATAGTTTAAAAGCTATCCCTTTCACTGTTAATCCTTAATAACTTTTAACTGGACCCTAAGAGATTAAATGAATTGCGAAACACATAGGTGTCTAACACGTATATTATGAAGTGATGATAAATTACTATTTTTCCTTCGTATTCAACGCTACAAGCTAAGTTTGTAACAATACGTCCAAGCTGCATTCGGTTATAAAGTAAAAACAATTACTTTAACTAAGATTTTTTAAAGTATTTCTGTCTAGAATTTAATTCCTTAATTGTGAATTCACACTTCACAGTTTTAATTTTTAATTCACCCTTTCATTCCTGTATGATCCACAGACCACAGGTGTGTTGATTGTCATTATTTTTGATAAATGCCAACCAAAAGTCACCATATAAGAAATTACTTAAATTTCGACTCTTATTGCATCTCTTATACCTAAGGCAAGCTCACAATTTTATACACCTAAAGCATGATTTGATGCTTTATATTGTGGATCCTTATCTATTTTGAAACATGTGTGAACAACGAGAGAATAATAATTAAATTTTACTTTCAAGTTGACTTGACTTATATGACATATCTCATACTCGTCAGGACTCACACAGTACATATTTACCGGTAGTCTTATATATTTGTCAACTATCAACCTGTCAAAGTCAATAACAAAGCGAAGAAGCTTTAGAAACTCGTGGATCATTTGCAAAACTAGAAATAAACAAGAGATGAGTTTAACTTACGTCTTAACATAATTAATAAAAAATCTGTATGAAATGGCTCGCCATCGAAATATAAGAAATAGAAGTTATTCAGACGATTATGATTACGAAGACGTTTACGGCCACTCGGTTGAAGACGATGTTTGTTTATCTCCAAGTGATGCTGCTCAGTTCATATATGATCGTTCCAGAAATCAACATGCTATATCACAATTTCTGGAGTCGGATGACATTCAGGAAGAGCCTGAAGTTGATGACAATAACTCTCGGCCGTCCTTCGAGCGTCGCGAATCCATGGATTTACGTGGACTAAATTTGAGTGAAGAGGACGAAACTAAGCTAATGTCGTGCTTAGATGAACTACGAAACGTTTTGGGAGATACGGTATTAGATTCTATTCTAATACAAGCAGTAATTAAACATAAATTTGATTACAATAAAGCCCTAGATGAAATTTTAAATAATAATAAACAGGACAACATCAAAGTTACGGCAGAAAAGACCAAAATACTCATTGAGTCTGCCCCTATTATACCAGTTCTTGATAGAGCACCAATAGTTTCAACTTCTACAGTGGATAAAACAATATTGATTGCTTCTAAACCAGAAGAGACTAACACAGCAGTTGTAAAAGGTTTTAAAGTAAATAATGATACCACATATAGCAGACCACAGACACCCAGAGATCAATCACCAGCTGTGACTTCTAGAGGTGACAATTTAGATGAATCAAAATCAACTCCAAAAGTAAAGGAGAACAAAATTGATCCAACTATTAAATACTCCAATGAACGAGGATCTGATAAGGAGCATTTATATATTGTTGTAATTGGTCATGTTGACGCTGGAAAATCTACCCTAATGGGGCACTTACTTTGCGAGCTTGGGGTGGTAAGCCAGAGAACCTTGCACAAATATGAACAAGAAAGCAAAAAAATTGGAAAGCAAAGCTTTATGTATGCCTGGGTGTTAGACGAGACTGGAGAGGAGAGAGTTAGGGGAATCACAATGGATGTTGGTAAAGCTCAATTTGAAACGAAAACAAAGAAAGTCATTATTTTAGATGCACCAGGGCATGCAGATTTTATTCCTAATATGATTACTGGGGCCGGACAAGCAGATGTCGCATTGTTAGTTGTTGATGCCACTCGAGGAGAATTTGAGTCAGGTTTTGAACTCGGAGGACAAACTCGTGAACATGCATTGCTTGTTAGATCATTAGGAGTAAGCCAATTAGCTGTGGCTGTAAACAAACTCGATACTACCAATTGGTCTCAGGAAAGATTCAATGTAATTGTTAAAAAGTTGAAGTTGTTTTTAAAACAAGCTGGTTTCAAAGACTCGGATGTGACATTTGTCCCATGCTCAGGGCTAACTGGAGACAATCTGGTGAAGCCTTCAAATGAAGCAGAGTTGCTTAACTGGTATACTGGACCTACTTTACTAGATGTAATAGACAAGTTTAACGTTCCAGAGAGGCCTGTGTCAAAGCCTATGCGAATGTCCATTAATGATGTATATAAAGGAACCGGTTCTGGGTTTTGCGTAGCAGGTCGTATTGAAAATGGGATTGTGAATAAAGGAGATAAAGTTTTAGTTTGTCCTTCAAAAGAAATGGCTGAAGTCAGAAATATAGCTATAAATGAACTATCAACTAACATTGCTTTTGCCGGTGACCAAGTTGCAATAACACTATCAGGAGTAGAGATGCAAAATGTTTCTATAGGTTACATACTGAGTGATTCTGTCAATCAGGTACCTGTGACTTCACGATTTGAAGCAAGGCTTGTTGTATTCAATGTTAAGGTGCCGATAACTAAGGGATATCCTGTATTGCTACACCACCAGTCACTAATAGAATCGGCACATATCAGAAAATTGAAGGCACTATTAAATAAAAGCACAGGAGAAATGATAAAGAAAAAGCCTAGATGTTTAGGAAACAATTCAGTAGCGGTAGTGGATATAGAAGTTTGTCGGCCTATTTGTATCGAGAGGTATAAGGATGTTAAAGAGTTGGGTCGTGTCATGTTACGCGTGTCGGGAGTCACTATAGCAGCAGGACTTGTCACAGAGATTTATACTGATTGATCTGATATTGTAATAGCTTTGCTAGTGCGGAACCTTTTTATTTATGTGACTAAATTCATGTACAATTGTTTTGTGCTATATATAAACGTGATATAAAATTATTACATATTGTTATTGTAAATCATATTTATTACGCCATTAAATGTTATTATAGTATTTTTATAATTTTATTCATATAGTAAAATTCTTGCATAATATGTTACAATCTCTATAGAGGTAATTAGTTAGGAAATAAGAATCTCAAAGGGAAATATTAGAGATAGATAAAACGTTTTTAATATTTACAAAACAGGAGAACTTAGTACTGACTCATGTCTCATCATACGATCGAGATCTCCAATAATTTCTGTAAATCAATTTCTTTATTCAAATTAAAAACGACGTAAAGGTCCAAGGTTACCAGTATACATATAGGCCCCCTTAAAATGATAATATAAGTTAAAAAATGTCTTTAAAATGAAATAGTGCGATTAGCTTTACAAACAGAAATTAATATTTTGAAAGAAGTTTTACTTCAATCGCGCGTAAAGGTTACACGCACACACTTTTTTTTTCGGTGACTGGCTTTAAAAAAAAAAAATAATCTTCATATTCAAACCTGTATTGTCATTTTCATTTCATTTTTCAGTATCATCAATCATGGGGCAAGGTCCATGCGTGTTTAGATTGCAGTAAGTATTTCTGAAATTTTATTGTGTATTTATGATTTCGTGTTAAAATAGATAAATATTATTTGAAAATTTATTTAGTGTCAATGTATCGTCTAACCTTAAATTTTGTAGAGGAGAATTTGAGGCGGTGGAGGGGTTGGTTGAGTCGTCGGTGGAGGCGCCGGTGGGGGCCGGTGGTGGGGCCTGAGCCAATACCGAGGCCATCTCCGTCCCCAAGTAGGCGCCGTAGACCGCGACCTAGAACCCGTGGCGACTCACCACGTAAAAAAAGAGCTAGGTCATGGTAAGAGCCAGTTTTTTTCTAAATATATAGACTACATTATATTTTTTTTTATGTCGGTTAAAAGAGACATGAATGATTTCACAATAAATTTAAGTTCTTTTTCGATCGATTTTTCTCTAACTTAGCAAATCTTACAACCACAAAGGTCTTTTCGGTTTTTTATAACCGATTTTCGTGATAATGTTTAGATAGAGAGATTACCACCCCCCCACAGTCTCATAATCTTTACCTTTTTATAGAATATTAGTATAAATCTATATAATTACTGTACAACTTAATTTAAAATAATTTCAATTAACATTCTTAGAGTTACATAAATATGCTGTTTTTGCAAAGGCCAAGAACAAAAGTTTCTGACGTTTTAATGGAACTGATGGAATGGACTGGAAATTATTTCTTCTATGTGTAAAATTTGATTAAATTAATTTAGATTTTATAAAAATTATCTGAACTTATAAATTTTTCTTAAATCTTTCTTCTCTTTTACAGATCCGAATTCTGTGGAGGTTTTTTGGGAGGTCAAATGACCTGTCTTGATGTCGCTGAAAAAATTTTTATTAATGAAAAATTACATTTAAATTCTACGTGTGAGTTACATTTGTAATTTTTTTTTTGTCAACTATTGACCTAATAATATAATAAGTATAATATAACATATTATGTTCTACTCTAATTAAAACGATTTAAAAGTTTATAGTTGTATTATTATCGCATATTAGTACCCATTATCATATGAGGGGTATAAAAGCAAAGGCGCTTCAGTCACAACACTTAGAGTTATGTGTAATATTCTACTGTGGTGTAAGGAATTGTTATTTTGGCCAGATTCTGTTATTGGTACATTAATTAGAACTGAGGATTTAAATAACAGTACCGAAAATAATGAAATTCATGTTATATTTTTATATTTAGGACTTAGGTGCATATGCATTTGAATTTTGAACATTGGACTGAAGTATGTTTGCTCTTCATTGCTTGGGATCGAAGAGAATTTGCATCTCACTATTTAATTCGACAAATGTGACGGGGGGAATGTACTGATTGCAATATAAAACAAGTTACTCAAATAATCATTTATTTTTATTTTTAAGGACTTCATTAAATCATATTTGAATCAACTGTCGGTGGATCGCAAGATGGCTCATTTTCTTGAATATCATCAATATCCTATTGCTAATAATTGCCTGAACTGTTGGACCTACCATTTGAATATTGTTAAGGTTTAAAATATAATTATTTGACGTAGGCGCACTAGCGTTAAAAACGGCTCTTAATTTAGTGGTACGCCATGATGAGGAATATACTGAACATTTTTATTTAAATTAATGTCACACTCAGTCATATGACCCAACGACTGGTATTCAGTCATAAACTCACGATACATTTCGTAAAGTTTAGGATTTTTACTAAGTCTCTGTTCTAAAGAGAGAAAACACCGTTTCGCTCGCTGAAATGAATCACCTAAACAACTCGGGTCTTCTTTTAATGGGATTCTTACGCAGAAACGTCCGTCCGCTAAACGAGTATTGTTTTTAACAAAATCATCTTCACATGATTTTTGTTCAAGTAAATAACTAGAAGAAAAATTTACTTCTTCTAAATTCCAAAACCGAGCTAGCTGACTTTGAATTTGACGATTAGAATTAATATCATCATCAATTAAATTTTTACTAAATAATCGATTATTTTTAATATTAAAATCGCGTACAAAAATCGATTTTAATAGTTTTTTTTCATAATCGATTATTTTTTCACATCCCTAATTTTGACCTAATCCTTACAAAATCTTTTGCTATATACTGTAGATATCGGTCTATTTATCATGTGAATGAATTAGATCCCGAAATGACAGGAGCTGAAGAGTTGCGAGAAAACAATTTGTCATGCTTGGGTCTAGAGATTCGATTTAGATAAAATAGTTTTCTGGCAGCTCGAACATTGAATAGAAATGTAGTTGCTGAATAGACTAAGCTGTGGAGTGCCTTAATTAAATGTTCTATACTCTGTATCTCTATGCCGCTTTAGTCTGGAGGTTAAAGTAGTTCGTTAATGGCTTAGTGGCTTCAGCGTGCGACTCTCATCCCTGAAGTCTTAGGTTCGATCCCGGCTGTGCAGCAATGGACTTTATTTCTATGTGCGCATTTAACATACGCTCGAACGGTGAAGGAAAACATCGTGAGGAAACCGGCTTTCCATAGGCCCAAGTCCACGGCGTGTGTCAGCAATCAGGCTGATCACCTACTCGCTCCATTGAGACCAGAACACTACGATTCTTAGCGCCAGCGATATATAATAATTACCACAAGTAAAATACAAACCATTTCCACAAACTAAATATATACTATAATATTGGTAAGAATATGTAATACGTAGTTTTTCAATGTAAAAAAGAGATTCCATGAAATTTTAAAATCAAACCTTTGTAAAATATGTAAACTAAAAAGATACTACTTTATGATTTTATTGAAAACTAGCTGGTGCCCGCGACTTCGTCTGCGCAGGATAAGTATTTCGAGTAGCTTATATTATTAGCATGGCGTAGAAAAAAACTACTAAAGATATTGACTATTTAAGATTTAGATTACCTAAATTTTTTACGTAGATTTTTTCCTACTTACTTGATATTTCAATAATAGACAATTCAATTTTGGTTATTCTGATGTATAAGCTATTTTATTGTAAAGTTTGATTACAATCCATTCAGTAGTTTTTACGTGAAAGAGTAACAAACATCCATCCATACTTAGAAACTTTATGATTTATTTTACGTGAAACCTATATAATTTTAAGTGATACCGCTGCCCATGGACTCTCAATGCATGCATGCCCGCGAGTGCACTGCCGGCCTTTTAGGAATCGGTACCCTAAGTTAAACCGCCCCCGACTCCCCAAATACGAAGCGCAGCTTGTGTGTCCAGCACCAAATGCTAAATGTTCCGATGACGGCCGCCTAGAGCAGGGGTCTCCAAACTTTCCAGCCTTATGGCCATACTGATTACTCCAGTAAGTTCCGAGGGCCAAAACCATATATCATTGCTTCTTATAAGTTATGTTTTTATCACAATAACAATAAGCCTACAACAATGTTATGAGTAGTTAGCCCATGACCATATCAATGTAGATGTCATATTAATAATTATTCAACATAAAATTAGAATACTTCCAATGGTGCAATATTGGGGCACAAAATTGGGGAGAATTTTAGGTCTGTTTCATTAATCGTTTGGTATCAAAGGCAAACATAGTTTTTATTCCAATCTTAAACAGTGATAATCCTCTAAAACCTCAAACATATATACTCCATATAACAGGGGGCAAACAGGCATGAGGCTCATCTGATGTTAAGTGATACCGCCGCCCATAGACATTATTCTGCTAGAGGGCTCGTAAGTGCGTTGCAGGCCTTGCCGTTTGCGGTAGAAGATGCAGAGAAAACCCACATCTCTGTGCAACGCCAAGGGATCAAGGGTTCAGAAATGTCGGTGCTCCGTGGTCAGAATTGCCTCTGCCCATCTATTTGTAAGATAAACGAGAAGGTCACCAGCTGAGGGAATACGAGATATCTCAGGAGCTGGCCGTTAGTATTGGATTCCATTATTTTGGAGAACAAGGAGGTTATGGCTATTTTGTGACTAGAATGTGCATGCACTGTTTGGTCCCCAATCTACAAGAAATACATTAAAGCAATAGAGAACATTCAAATAAAGTTTCTTAAGTTTTTAAGTTTTAAGGATTTCCGAAACTATAGTAGCTATATGGATTCCTGCAAGTACTTTGGTATTCAATCATTAGAATGTAGACGTAAACAATACGACCTTATGTTTTTACAAGCTATTTGCAACGGTTTAATTGACTGTTCTGACTTATTGTCGCTTTTACTATTTTCCACCCCTTCTTCATACAATACAAGGCAACCCAACTATTTAAAATTCCTCGGTCTAATACAAACTTTTTACGTAACTCAGTCATGTGTCGTATACCTTCAGATTATAACACAAATTACCAGCAAATAGATATATTTAATGTAACTAAAAAATGTTTAAAAA